ATGACTTTCAACATCAGAACTCTTTTGTGAAAGAAATCTAATGTAAAAGTTTAGCTTTTGTTATTTATTCTTTCATAACATATTGAATCCTTGCTTGGTTCCCAACAGTCCATCAGACTAATTGGATCAGTACCACACCTCCCTTTTGGGATGTGCAGTTGTTCAGTAACTAGCAGTCTGGGGCAAGACCCACTCTGGACTGGCTTCAGTTGAGACCTTATACCTGAACTGGTCTTACAGATCCTCAAGAGGAGGTTATTTGTCTTAGTCAACAGGTTGGGAAAGTTACGGTGTTTTTACTGTGGTAGAGATGACGCTATAGATTCTAGGTCCCAAGAAGACTGTGTGAAAGGATTTCTGAGGTTGCAGAGTAGTTACCCACTTTTGGTTTAATATCACATGGAAGATTGCTGTCTTTTAAAGACCAAGTGAAAAGTACACTGTTCCTTCCCTAGTGTGGCAAAGTGAAATTGAAGTTATCCCAAGCCCAGCATTAGAGCTACGAGTCTTTTTAACATTTATTTTGTGATGTTCATATAGCTGTTCCATATTTGGATGGTGTTACCATTAAAATGCAGCTGATATTAAGTTTCGTGTATTTCTACTGTGTCAGAGTTACTGAGATAAAAACCAAACCCAGCCACTTAAAAAAAGTGTACCCTGAAGACAGAAGTAAATCTTGTCTTTCTTGTATCTCTTTCACTGGAGAAATAACAGCCAATACAAGTGAATTATTTTCATTTGTATCAAGCAATGGACTTTTACCCTTTTGCTTGACTTGACTTGAATCTCAAGTCTATTTTCTTGATGATAAGGCTAAATTTTTGATTTCTGAAATTCAATCACATTGTTTCTATTTGTGCCTTTTGCACAAACCTTACCCATTCTTCCCAGTTTGTTTAGTCCCTTCCAGAACTGTTTTTCTCATTAGCTGTTGTTCAGACTCAAACTGTGTGGTGTATATGTGTGTTCACACCACTTTGATTTCAGAAGTAAGGTTAATTGTCCTGGAAGTTCTGTCCATGTTTTAGTTTTGCTGTGTTTCTTTTCTAAAACTGCCTTTCATCTTTGCTGTCAGATTAAAGAGAGGAAACCTCAGATCACAATATGAATGGTGGGAAAAGACTTAAGTCATTCAAGGAATGCATCTGGGAGACAGGCAATGCAAAGTTTATTACAGGAGAGAAAAGGATAAAGGACCTTTGTGTGTGGACTAACAGTTTTAGGAATCCTTCTACCCTGGCTCTCCTTGTACAGCTCCATTTGTAATAGTGACTGTGGGAAAAATTAAATCAGTCATTAACTTCCAAGTCACCAGTTTGTTGGGGGCTTTTCTTGTAGTTCTCTGTAATAGCAGCAGCCTGGTCCCAGTGATACAGAGGTCCTCCTGTACTGGATTTTGTGGATGACTCCTATACCTATTCTGTGTTTTCCTGTCAAATACTGGTGTAGACAAACTGCAAGAAGCTTGGAAGCTTCCATAGACTGTCTGTTTCTCCATGTTTTTAACCTGAAGAGAGCAAGCCTTTTGCCATGAGTCAAAGAGGATGAAAAAAAGGATACCCAATGGTTGCACTGTTTAAGAGTCTTCATTCTAAAAATGAGAGTAGGATCTGTTGCTGATAATTTTGTTGGTGGTGATTATGAGATTATTGTATTTGGTATGTTTTCTTCACACTGGGGAGACTGGGAAGAGAAGTGATGAGGTGTTTTATTTCCCAAATAACAGATCACAAATCTCATTTTGCACCTTAATTAGCACCTTCAGCACTTCTTTCCACCTTCTACAGGAGCTGATGAAACCTGTTGAACTTAATGTGAATCTTCCTGTTAAATTTAATAGATAGCAGATCTGTGCTGAGCTGTCTTCCGGATGTTTTAACAAGCACAATTCCACCTTCTCTCTCAAGGCTTTGTCTCACTCAGCTTCCTTACTCCCTGACCTACCAGTGTGTACTGTTCTGCTTTCTACTGTCTTTCAAGCAAGGGCGTCTTTTGTTCTCCACACTTTAGGAAGATATCACGTTTGGCTAGAGAATGTATTTGCAGGCATCAGAAAAAAAAGTAATTGCATCAGAAAAAAAAGTAGTTGCGTAAGGAGAAATTTTGGCTTGGCCAGCATGGTTACTATCTCAGCTTACTTAGTAAGCAAGCTTGGTGGATGCACTACTCCCTCCCCACCCTCCTTCTCCTCCCAGGGGCAGGGCCCCAGTTCTAAGTCTCGCCCAGGGTAGCCAGCAAAGTTCAGCTTCTCTTTGAAAGCAGGAAGTAAACCAGCAAGGGGACTGTGACTGGGTGCGGAAGGGTTAACAGGAATGCTGCTCTTCTGTTCCAAGAGGCTGCTGCCACTAATCACGCTGTTTATATTTACAGCTTTCCCGCTCCTCCCTATTGTGCATAAAGCACGCCTCTGAAAACAGAGCCTGAGCACTGCTGTAAGTTAGTCAGACTGTGTGTAGTATCTGATTGCTAACTGAAGAGACTTGGAGGCTGCAGACTCACTTTTTTCTGCCTGTGGTAAGGCACACACCTGCACTTAGCAAATGCCTTATAATTAGTGATGCTCTGGAGAATGTTCGTGAGCCACCTTCCTGCCCACAAGTGCCCTTAATCTCAATTTGGGACTTGCAGTCACGAGGGGACTGCATGGATGTGCTGGAGTGATGCTTGCATACCAGACATTCTTTATCATAAAGATGAAGAGGGGTGAGAGCTTTCTGGGTAGGGGGAATAATGGGAGGGTTGTCCTTTCCTTCAGTTCACTGGGGCCTGCCTACTGATTTAAATTGTAAATAGTGTTACAAACTAGCTCTGGCAATTCATTGTTTCTTAGGAGAATTATCTGATTTCTACTAATATAGAGTAGAAAAGGGAAAGAATAAAAGGAAAAATTATATATCTCTACTAATTTAACATCAATCCCTTTTCATAACTTAAGTAGTTATATTAATCACATGTAGGGAATGTCAGTTCCTTTGGGACCCTTTGATCTTACTTTTTTAACAGAACAAAACTCTTTCCTTTCCCTTCTCTTTCCACTACCATAAACTATTATCACCACCATGATGTTTAAAGACTGTCTGGTGGGGTCAGCAGGAAAGGTTCCCTGCTGTCATGTCATCTAACCCAATCAAGTTTACTCTTTAAAATTCACTGGATTTAGACCTCTGGTCTCATGGGCAGGAAGCCATTCATTTGTCTGGGGGAAGAAGTCAATTCATTTCCAGCCTGAGTGTGTTCCAAGACAGAAACACAGAAGGGCTGAGGGTGGCAGGGACCTTTGGAGTCCATCTAGTGTAATGTCTCTGCCCAAGCAGGGCTGCCTGGTGCCAGTTGTGCAGGACCATATCCGGATGGTCCTGATTTTGCGTATCTCTAAGGATGGAGCTTCCACAGCCTCCCTGGGCAACCTGTGCTAGCACTAAGTCACCTTCACAGTGAAAAAGTGTTCCCCAATGTTCAGAGGAAACCTCCTGTGTTTCAGTTTGTGCTCATCACCTCCTGGTCTACCACTGGGCACCACTGAAGAGAGTCTGGCTCCCTCCTTTTTGCACCCTCCCCTCACATATATCTCTACAGTGATAATATTCCTTCCCTTGAGCCTTCTCTCTTCCAGGCCAAATAGTTGCAGTTCTGTCAGCCCTTGTTCTTAGGAGATGCTCCAGCCCCTTAATCACCTTTGTGGCCTCTTCCATGTGTTCCTATCTCTCTTCTACTGGGGAGCCCAGAATTGGACACAGCACTCCAGATATGACCTTACCAGTGCTGAGCAGAGGGGAAGGATCACCTCCCTTGATCTGCTGGCAGTGCTCCTCCTAATGCAGCCCAGAATAAAAGGGCTGCATGAAAGACAGTTTACACCCATTTGTTCTTGTGCTAGTGTTTTTCCTGAAACTTCAGTAGCACCATGCTTTTGACTGGCCTGAAAGGAAGTGTAAACAGCCATATCCCTTCTCAGTCTTCATTTTGCTAGACTAAACAAACTGAACTTTGCTAGTCTGCTCTTTGATAATATTCGCCATTTCCCAGTTCTCCCAGTAACCCTTTTATGGGTCTGTTTAATTTTCAACTCCTTTTCCTAAATACTGTACTGAGTTTTCCAGGTGACCATGTCATCCATACCTCTTCTTTCCCTGTAGGAAATAACTGAAGTGATAAGAGCCCCAACGACAGAGATTTTGATTATGATATCAGCTCATTGTGAATCCAGGATGAATAACCACAGCCCTGCTCTCCATAGTACAAACAAATTTCCGAAGGTATTTGAGTTGGGGGTGGAGTGTTTCCTGAAGTGAAAAAGGGATGGCATACAGATAATTAACATGAATAGTAACAAAAATCTAAATAAATCGACCATTTCTTTCCTGGACAGCAAAGGAACGTGAGCTACATAGCACATGACTGGCTGTCAGAGGAGGACAGAACTATGGCTCGTATCTGAGGTTACAATTGCAGGGATGTTAAAATCCCTGCCATAAACCAATTCCCTCCCAAGATGACTGAAAGACTCAGTTTGGATTCAGTAAAAACAGTAGTCACACTTCCAGAGTGTAGGGAAATGTATCTGAATGATATAAACAAATTTTCTTGCACCTTTTTCCCCTTTTTTACTTCCCCTCGGTTTCTTTGCTATAGCTGCATTATTCTGCTTCTAAGCTCATTTATTTCTATTAATAGGACTTTTCATCTGTAGGTAGTAATGACCATTAAAGCTCCCACAGTAATTTAAACTATTTCTCCTTTCTAAGTGATAGGAGATGGGGAACAGAGCTCCCTGCCCTTCAATGAGTGGAGCAAAGAGATTATCATCTGCAGAATGGTCATGGAGTTAAATGTAGCTAAAATTGAGCAGCTCCTCTCACAGACGAGTTAGTTTCATCTACTATGTTGAATCTTTGGATGAAGTTTCTGAAAGACTATTGCAATATTGCACCAGAGGCAGGGAGAAAATATCATATCTGATCAGCGAAATTTCATTTGATATTTTTTTCTGCCCACAGCAAGGAACTTTTCAGCTTGATGAAGATGCAACTGCACCTGCCTTGGGGACATTCGCTGTAATTGGACACCCTCAAGCGTCCAGGGTGGGTGTGGAGGCAGAGGTAGGGTCCTAGCAGCAGTCAGGACCCCAGCCACGTAAAGCAAATCAGGTAATTCAAAACATATGTAAATTAACCTGTAAGAGCAGATTTAGTTCGTTCATCACTGCAAGTGCCTGTAAGCCAACTCTGTTCAGAGCTGAGGTGGGCTTAAACTGCAATGCCTGTTAAAAGCAATATACTACACATTAATACAGAGCTGTCAGCCACCTCGTGTAGCTTTGAGCAGCATCTGTCAGGCAGGATAATGTTTAGGTGCATATATTCTGCATTTGTTCTTAACACTGGCAATTCAAGCTACTGTTTTTTTTTTTTCTGAGTGTCAGAAGAGCATTTGTCACCGCAGCCCCTTTCTGGGCCCATAAATATGCTGGACATAGAGGACAATTTTCATGCCTCCTGCACAGCTTTAGAGACAGTCAAAACAGATCTCTGATAAGACAGAGGTGGCAACAATCCAGCCTGACTAATGTCCAGCTTGAATTTGAAGCAAGAAGGAAATAGAAAAGCAGTCTGAAAAGTGCCCTCAGCTAGGTCACTGGCTAAAATCCTGCCCTCGTATCCTTTTCTAAATTCAATGTACCTCTCCAGCAGGGTTATTTGCAAAGCCTAGTGATGTGTGTGAGACAGATATTTGGTTTCCCGTGTACAATTATGAGCAGGCACTTGTTTCCTCAGGTGCTCTCTAAATGCATTTTATTCAATGAAAAATTCAAGTTTGTCTGTATAACAGGACACTCATTTGTGTCCTGATGCAAATACAGTCATATTTCATCGACCCCTTCAGTAAGAAATATTTCTCCCTTATCGAATGTCCATGTCTCTTTTCCAGTATGATAAGTGCTATTTAATAAAACCCAAACAGAAATTATTACCCATTCTTCTTTTTCACCAACATCAGTTAAAGATTTATCAATTATTTTGTTAGGGCTACGATTTCTTCCTATGGTTTTTCCCTAACGTAATATATTAGATTATTAACCTTAAGAATATCTGTTGGTTTCATTATACAGTATTTTTCATTTTACCTCTTTCAAGCTGGATGATGCTGTAATGTGTTTGGGTTGACAAAAACGTTTGTTTTCTCTGTTAATTTGAATTTAAAAAAACTCAATAAAAGTTTGGAAACACAGAGAAAACTTTTATTTTGGTCAATCTTATAAAATACAAACCTTGGGTTAAATTTGGTAAGCATCTCTTGGACTTCAGGTGCTATAAAATTAAACACTTTTTCTTTTATCACTTTCAACACCAAGAGAAAAACACTGCTTTGGTTCCCATGTTCTCACTGCTGCCAGCTCCTTCTCCTCTCTGGCTCCTGTGACACAAGATGAAGTTAGACGTGCCAGTGACAGCATGCATGGTAAGATATGTGCTGGGGATGCTGCTGATAAGATGGATATTCTTGGCTGGCTCTGTGACATTTCTCTCTGTCCTTTGCTAAGGAAAGGGGGTCAGTGGAACACCATCAGGGCTTCAGGCATCAACCTGGGTGCACGGCATTGCTCTCCCATTTCCATGTCATGAAGTAGAGCTATCGATCCTCCTGCTCAGAATATATAGGAAGACATGGGCATGCCTTCATATCAAATCACATTATCTGTGTTATGCCTTAGGAAGATGAGGAGCAGTTGGAACTCCCCACCAGAATAAAGTAAGGAGCAATGTTTTCTTTATGTTATTTGCTGAATGATGGATTGATGGACAAATGTACAGAAATGCTCGAAGGCAAGAAAGAAGAATGAAGCAGATGAAAAACAAGAAAGAGACAAAGATTCAGTCCCGGCCCTAGTAAAGATCCAGAATTGCTGTTGACCTCAGTGATAGAGAACCAGAACAAAAGAGTAGGTGGATGAAAGCAGGGACAGGAAAAAGAAATCAGGGAAGGATGGCTTCAGATGATTTCATCCTCGTGTTTCCCTCTCAGTTCCCCTCACCCACCGTCAGTCTCCACTTTCTCCAGCTCTCATCTTTTATCATTGCTGAAGCAGTAAGCTGTCATTTCTCATCTGGTATCTCCCATCCATCCATCAGCATGTCTGGGATAGCTGGCAGCTAATTCCGATGGGTGAGCGACCCATCAGTATCCCTTGCCAGTTCCCACGGCACATGTAAGCTGATCAAGCTAACAAATTCTGACAGGTGAGAGACATCTATCCGTAGTTGCTACCGGTAGCAAAGACAGAGACATAAAGGGTTCCATATGGTGTTCAATGGGGAGATACAATGCCAGAAGAGAAACATCTCATTGTCCTGAATTCACAGGTTGCTCTTTGATCTACCTAATGATCTCATGGGGCCTCTAAAATATGACCCTCTTCCTATTGTGCCCTAGTGCCAAAGGTTTAGGGGAGACCAGAAATACATTCTGCTACATGCAGGCTGCCTAATAGATATTGTCAGGTTGTGGTACAAATGTTGCCAAAAGCCCTTTCTCGAGAGGGCAGAAAACCTTGGTGGAACCAAGGCCTCATTTTTAGCAGCTGTTTTTCAGGGCATGCTGATGTGAATGAAAGAGCAAAAGTCCTTTTCTCGATTACCTAACATTAGAAAAAAAATCAGAATTTCACAGGAAGCGAACAGCTACAGTCTGCATTACAACAAACTAGGCCTTTTCAGACCCTTTTGCATGGCCAGCTTTCTGTACCTGCAAATGGTGGAATATAATTCACAAGCCTAAACCAGACATTTGTAGAAACTTCTTCCCAAGACTCTTCCCACAGCCAAAATCATAGTCAATCTCATAAAGACTTCCTTCAGTTTCTCTTTAGCTAATGTAATTGTTTTTATTTAATCTTGCAATGATGCAGTTTTTCCTTTAAGAGGTGGAAAATTGAAACGGAAGGGAGTATTTTCCCTTCCATCTGCTGGCCGCCTTCTCTTCCCAGCAGTGTCCAAGTTTCACTGAACAACTCCCTTTCTCCACAGCCATTTCAGACCTCATGCCTTGTCTTGAGCCAGCGCTTACTTTGATCTGGGTTCTTACAGTCTACAGCCATAAGTAGGATGTCTCATTTCAACATCGCTCCTTTTCTTTACTCGTTGAGCCACATGCTTATGATGCCTTTCATAAGGAACTTCATCTCTTATGCCTTCTTCCACAGGCAAGAAGCCCAAACACACTAGCTTTTTCTGCTGATGTTCTCCAGATGCCCAGCTCTATTTGGTAACCCTTCTCACCCATGCTAACTGTGTATCATTTCCTTTCAGCATTCCTGCAAGTTGTAGCCATTTGGGGCAGCCAGGCCTTCTCCAGAAACAGTCCTCTTGGTCCCTTTGCAGGGGTGTTCTTGTTGGTGTGCTGGCAGCCAGGAGGGGGACGATCTTCTAAGCTCCATCTGTTGCTTTCACCTCTGTTTTAAATGTCTGCTCTTTCTCAGTGCAGCTATCTATTCATCATTTATTGTTTAATCCATTCTCTCTACACTGGTTTAGCCCCAGAGCAGACAGAATAATCCCTTTTGGGATTGAGCCTGTCTTTTCCTTAAAGAAAACATTACAGACATCGCTCTTGCTCACTGGAATTCCTGCCATTTAGCTGCATCAATGATAAGGCTTGATTCTTTGGAAGATATTTTACTGAAGCTAAGGAAACACTTCTGGGAAGAAAACAAAGTTTTAACAGGACACTTCGAAAAGAAGGCTATCCCAAGATCCTAAGACTATTGCAGTTTTAACTAAAAATCTTTCTTGGCTTGCCCACTGGAAGGTCAGCCATCCTTGGAGCTTGCAGTTGCTGAGTAAAGCACTGCTGTTTGTAATGCTTCCTCCCAACGCTGAACTCACCACAAGTAGATGGACACAATTCCATCCTATGGCGTTTGGGCAGGCACTAGGCAATGGTTGCCCATCACCGTGTGGAACAGCAGGATGGCACAAGTAGTCCCAGCACTTCACAGGCAGCCCTTCACAGCCAAGGAAGTATCAGGTAGGTTGAGGCCCGGGCAGGGCTCCTTGCTCCATCACCTCGAGGTGCTTGCGCTGCTTCCAGGACTCCATAACATGCAATGCACACATTTTGCCCAGGTCACCCGTGCTGGTGCCAGGACCACGCCAGGCAGGTCATTGTTTACTAACGTTGTGCTCTTTTTGTCAAAAAACATCCCCTGGCATCACAACATTTTGTTTTGGGGCACTCTGTGGCTTTTCCTTTAGGGTCTTTCCTTGCCACAAGGAAATTCGGTGTCCAGTCGGACAAGCCGGTGGCTTTGTGGTGACAGCACACGCCTGCACTAGGAGCGACCGTGGCTCTCGGGCAGGGGGTGAGGGCACAGTCCTGGCAGCAGCATCCCCACTCCCGCCAGCGCCACCTTCCCGCGCAAAGCGTATCCCGCCGCGCGTGCTCACTGGGAAGCAGCGCCTGTCCGAGGATGGAGGGGGGGGGAAGTCTCCCCACGCCCCCCGCGCCGAAGGCGCTCGGCTGTTCCCGTCGCTTTCCGCCGCCTTTCCCCGCCCTCTCGCCGCCTGCCTGGGCGCCCGCACTCCCGGCGGCGCGGCGGGAGGAGGAGGCGGCGGAAGATGGCGGTGGGGATTGGCAAGGAGGCGGCGGCAGCAGCAGCAGCTCTGCGAACGAGCCCGTGGGCAGCCAGCGCCAGAACCGGTGCGGGCCGCGGCTGAGGAAGGAGGCGGCTGGGGCTGCGCCGCCACCGCCCTCCCCGGCGCCGCTCCCTCCTCCTCCTCCTCCTCCTCCTCCTCTTCTCCCTGCCTCCCTCCCTCTCTCGCCTTCCCCGCCTGCCCCGGCCCTCCGCCCTCGCCCCGGCCCGGCATGGACGGTGGCGCTCCGCCGTGTCGCTGCCGCCGCCGGCGCTGAGCGGGGCCGCCCGCCCGCCGCTCCCGGGAGCGGGGAAGATGTCGGACACCAAGGTGAAAGTTGCCGTCAGGGTCCGGCCCATGAACAAGAGAGGTAAACGGAGTCTGGGGGCACAGCGGGGTGCGGGGAGGGGGCTTCCCCCCGCGGCGTCCCCCAGGCTGGCGGAGGGACGAGCCCCCGCCGTCGCTCGCTCCGAGGGGGACCCGGCGGGGGCCGAGCTGCCCCGGCGTGCCGGGAGAAGCGGGGGTACGCTCGCCCTGGGTACAGCCCCCCCTCCGTGTCGCCTTGCAGAGCTGGACCTGAATACCAAGTGCATCGTGGAGATGGAAGGGAACCAGACTGTGCTTCACCCTCCGCCTTCCAACACCAAGCAGGGAGAAAGGTAAAAGCCCGAGTCGCCGTGCCCCGAGTGAAAACCAAGCCCCAGCTCCTCCGCCTCGCCCTCGCAGGCGCCTCGCCCGGCTTTGTCAGGGCAGCGGCGGAGTCCCCGGGGGTCTCGCTCGGTGCCTTTCGGGGTTTGCGGTGGGTGGGGAGGAGCGGGCGAGGGGCGAGCGCTGGCCGGGGGTCGCTGCCTTGGGCTTGCATCTTTACCTGGCTTCCTGGCGGGGTCGGACGTACCCAGTGTGGAGACAGAAGATCCCTGTTGGCCTAGCAGATTTAAAAGTTGATTCTTGATTGACTGCTCAAAAAATAAGCTGTTGAGTAGGTAAGGACTTAAACTGTGTGTGCTGTTTTCAGAAATTTTCCTTGAGTGCAGACTGCCACCAACTTGATGTAACCTTTGGGGGAGCAAGAAGCAGAATCTGATTTTTATGCTAGTGATGGATTTTTTTTAATAGGTTTGTTTACTAGGTTTTAATGTATTTGCATTTGAAAAGGCTGTAATTGCTAGATCCTTTATTAATTCAGTGTTGTTCTGTGAAGTAGCCTATGAGAATATGCTAAAATAATTTTGAAATCTGGCATTTAGCTGTGATGCCCCAGTGAAGAATACCCTTGGAAATAATCCAAAATACCAATGCACTAGACTGTAAAAATAGATCAGAACAGGAAAAGATTTCTTTCCTTTGAGGGAGTGTGGGGAAAGACAGGGAGGTGCGAGGGGAATAGTTACGTTGTATGCGTGTGTGTTCAGTTACATTGTATTCTTATCTGTTCGGTTACCTGTTGACTGCTCAACTTAAGTGGTCGGTTGAATGTATTTAATGCCAAGGAGTGTGAAATCATATAGAGATTTTAAACGTAGCACGTTCCTACCACTTAAGTTTTTTAAAGAATATTTTTGATTCAGTTCATGGTAGTTATGAAGGAACTGTAGTGTGAGAATATTCTTTTTTCCAAAGGCAGTGTTTAATAAAAGCAGGAAGCTTTTATAGCTTTCCAGCAGAAGAGGTTGAGACCTTCTCTATTCTTACATGTTCAAGGTGGGAAGGTGCTTTTCACATTAAACCATGTCCTAGAATATAGCTGTAATCACACCAGTTTGTCTTAAATCCAGCTTGCATTGTCTTCAGGACCATCGTTGTGGTTAAAGTGCTGGCCTGTTTCTTGAAAGTTCTGTGCTTCTTTCCTACCCCTCTCAAAGATCTTTGTGTAATCTTCTGTAAGTCATGCTGCCTCTGTGGGTCTTAGCATCCCATCTGTGAAATGGAAATCTTGGTTTTTTATTAA